ACCCTATAAACCCTAAAGCTATATAGCTTCCAGGCCGAGCCTCCTTTAGATCCGGCTGCAGGGGCTGGCAGACTTGCTCCTAAAGCACTGGGGTCGAAATCAAAATCCATTCCGAGGGTCACGACCCCCTCGTTCTCAGCGACCTCCTGGTCGTAGCGGACTTCTTCGCTCTCACGAAGAAGCTGGCTGGCAGTGAAACTGGCCCGCATCGTGTCTTGGAACCAATAGCGAACCTTGTTGGGGTTGTAAATGTCGGCCTCGGCGATTTGTGTTGGGAAGAAGCTCTGTGTTCATACTGACCAGACATGCAGACATCTCATCCCTCTCTCTCTCTCTGTTTAGGGTTTCTAGGGTTTGAAGTTAACAATGGGGGGGGTATATGGATATATACATACAGATAGCTAGGATAGCTAGAGCCAGCAGTTATAGGTTTCTCGAACACAAGCAGGGCCAATAGATATGTATATGTAAATATACACAGGCCTGGTAGGGCCCTCGACCTCTGTTTGATTGTTTCTTTTTCTCTCAGACACACACACACACACATCCTGTTATCTTCAGCTAAGCCATGCAGCCTTCTTGAAAGCTGGATGCTGGTTTGCAAAGGCAACGATCTCGTTGAGCCGCTCCCTGAGCTTGCAGGAAGCCAGCAGATCGAGCCCACAGCAAATTATTACATGTGACACACTTGCAACCCCGGCACTCCGGCACCTTCTTAACCTCCCGAAGCTCCCACAACTCGTAGTAGTCTCCCTCGATCTTCATTTCCATTTTCTTTTCTTTCTCAGACAACACTTTCACTTCTTTCAAGAAACCGGCTTTGTTCCTGCCGTTCTTCAAGAACAGTGTGAGGAGCTTGGTGCGTTCTGTCCCCCCTTGCCAAAACTTGTTGTAGACGTCTTCTGGGACAAGGAGAGATCCGTTGGATCTGCGTTTGCAGAATCTGCGGAGCTGCTGCCTAGCCTGAGAAACTTCCGGGTGGTTGCCCACGTCATCGACATCCTCCTCCTCGTCCCCCGAAGCCGCATCCGCAGTCTCCCCGGTAGAAGCTGCAAGGGGCTCCTTCTTTTTGCTGGCCTTCAGCTCTTTCTCCTGCTGGTGGAACTTCTTTTGCAACTCCTTGATCGTTGCCTCGAGCACCGCCATCTTCTGGACATCCGCCTCGGAACTCGAGCTTGCACTCTCCTTGTCGGGAGCCGACAAAGCCTCATCAGGTTCCCCGAGCTGAGCGCTGAGGTCTTTGACGAGCTCGCCGCTCTCAGGGCTCATGGCAGCACTCATTGCCTGGGTTTCGGATGGGGAGAACGTTTACCACTAGGGTTGTTCAAAGGCTTCTTCATGGGTTGTTATCAAGGGATGTTTCTGAACTGGGATTCAGGGATAGCGGTTTGCAAGGGCTTATATTGAGATCGAGGATTGTTATTACATGAACCTAAGGGTCTGGAGTTTATCGGTGTTGTCTGGTTGGGGCCCACTGAAGTTTTTGAGGTTATCAGAACGTTTACCACTAGGGTTGTTCAAAGGCTTCTTAATGGGTTGTTATCAAGGGATGTTTCTGAACTGGGATTCAGGGATGGCGGTTTGCAAGGGCTTATATTGAGATCGAGGATTGTTACATGAACCTAAGGGTCTGGAGTTTATCGGTGTTGTCTGGTTGGGGCCCACTGAAGTTTTTGAAGTTATCAGAACGTTTACCACTAGGGTTGTTCAAAGGCTTCTTAATGGGTTGTTATCAAGGGATGTTTATGAATTGGGATTCGGGGATAGGGGTATAGGTTCATGTAACAATCCTCGATCTCAATATATACCCTTGCAAATTGCAAGGGTATATATTGAGATCGAGGATTGTTACATGAACCTATGTATGGGTCTGGAGTTTATCGGTGTTGTCTGGTTGGGGCCCACTGAAGTTTTCGAAATTAACAGAACCAGTGTCTGCATGGCACTTGCAAATGTTCTCGGCTACGCTGAACCTTGGGATGTTTCGAGGGGAGAGCTCGTATAGGGGCTGTTAGGGGTTGTATAATTACAATGTGTATATTATACATAATATATATATATATATATATGTATTTACATAGTATACGTATATATTGGAGTTACTCAAGCTTCTAGATATAGTCCGTATGCACCCAGCAAATAGCCACCCAAAGCACACGGATGAATGAGTCAAAGGTTCTAGCGGACCCCGTAACAAAAGGCCGTATACCTCTCACTGCGCTGGCTTGTTGGACCTAGGATACACCCGAAGCCCTATAAGCCCTAAACACGAAAACCCTATAAACCCTATCAGCCCTAAACCTCCAAAAACCCTATAAACCCTATATAAGCCCTAAACACGAAAACCTAAAAAAACCTATAAACCCTAAACCTCCAAAATCCCTAAACCCTATAAGCCCTAAACACGAAAACCTAAAAAGCCCTATAAACCCTAAACCCCGATAAACCCTATAAACCCTATATAGGCCCTACAACCCCTATAAACCCTACAAGCCCTAAAGCCTATATAGACCCCTAACCCTAAACCGAGATGCGAAGCCCAACAAACGGTTCGTCACAAGCGATTCAACAAAATAACTGTTCGAAGCAATCAGCTGGACATGACCTGCAAAAACAACTCAACAAGCTGTACTTTTCAGAAGTGCTGCGGATTGGACAGGAAAAGGGCTGGGGCTGTCCAGGACGAGGTAGGGGTCTGCCTGCGCATCCTCAGGCAGGCTGCCCATCTTCAACGGCGTGGCAAAGAGCACCTTGTTCGGCGTTGTTTTCATTGGGGATGGGCTCCCTAACTGCTCCTTCAGCTTGCTCATCATCTTCCCAGGACTCATCACAGAGGCATCACCACTACCCTTGCCGGTTGCTTGCTTCTTGAGGTCCTGCTTCACAGGAGTGCTCTTTGCTGTTCCGCTCGGACTACTCATCACATTCCGCTTCTGCCCACCACGGGCTTCCTCGAGCTGGCGCTCCAGATCCTGCATGCATGCATGTGGTGTAGAACTAAATACTAAGCTTTAATTTCACTCAGCAGTCCTCAATCTCTGCGTCAACGATCTCGTCTTTGCACTGCTGCGCATCGACCGTAGCCAGAGCGACATTGAGGGTGTCGGATGACCAGACATTGCTGTTGAGGGGCTTGCTCATGACGACAGTACCCAGTAGGGCACTGGCAATGCTGGGCCTCCACAATCTACAAATGCTAGAGAGGGGCGATCTTTGGAAGATGTTTGGACACACAAGACAGTTGAGTAACAAGCACACAGGACCGTTATTGATGACTTCCTTTTCAGCATCGATTCAGCATCCGTGCATAGAGCACAGAAGCAGCCGTGCATGAATTGCAACACAGGGACACTACATACCCTGGCCGATTGGACCTGCAAAATTAATGTGCAGCTGGACTGCTAGCAAATGATGATGTTGTGATGTACCGACACTAGTCAGCCCAAAACTGCCTCATAAACACACAAACTAGTGTGTATCCGTAACTAGAAGCAGCTAGGCTCGTCCTGGCGGAACCAGATGCCGATACACAACATACACAAAACAGGGACCTTCCCCTGTGTGGTCAACACCTTCCCCACCTCTCTGCACATTCCTGCACCCAGGCGTGGCCTGGAATCTATATATCATGGCTGCCTCGACGAGGCCTGCACTGAGGGAGTCAGGAAGTGCCGCGAGGACCCTCATGTGCATCCATTTATCATGAGGGTCTTTGGCGTAGTAGGGCCATCGCTCAGCTGGGTTCCTGGTGATGCCTATTTTAAACACAGCAGGAAACTTTTTCCACAAAGTAGAAATGGACAGCTCACAGTGGTCTAAGATGGCGGAACCCAGCTTTGAATCATCAAGGTCGAAAGACACATGACTTGGCAAAAGTCCCGACTGCTCCAAATCGTTGCAGATTTGCTGTGTTCTAGGATGGGCACGGATGTCTCTAGGCAGGGCATTGAGAAAGTCCCCAGGGCCCCGAACTGACACTGTCTTCCTCTTCTTCACAACCAGTCGAGGCAGTGTTGGAAGGTTCATTGTAGTACCATTGCCAGAACAATTCAGCTGCTTTCGAAGGGCTTGGTTCATCTCCACAAGATTCTTGTTATCCTGCTCTAACTCTTGAAGCTTCTCCATCTGAGCAATCGCTGTGCAGCCATCATAGCACGGAGTTGCCAAAGCTCCCTGGCAGGCTTCGGCTTGGTACCATGCTCTGTGGAGTTCCACCCCATCGCCTTCGTCCGACCAGAGCAGGGACGTCAAACGCCGGAGCCTCTTGGCCATGCGCTTGAATGTCTATACAGCTACCCACCAGCTCGTCCAGTGCCTCTAAAAGCGAGATCTACTATGGAGCAAAAACAAACCATGCTGCGAAGGTAAGCACGTTCCAGGTTGAGCAGTCGTGGAAGTGCAATGCTTTAGTCGTGGTGCAGGGATGGGTGAGTGGAGGGTTACATACACCCATTCACATATGTGCTTACATATGTATATATATATATGTACGACCCACCCATGCCTTTGTATGTACAAACACATATATGTGCATGCACACATGCATACATACACATACATACAAACATACATACATGCATACATACACATACATATGTACATACACACAAACTTACATACATTTGTGTATACGCCTGTGCACACACCCACCTGGGAGACAGAGAGAGGAGAGAGAGGGAGTGAGGTAATATGTTCAAACAATACGACAACAAAAGACAGCACACAGGTAGGATGTTTCAAGGATTGGGCACCCAGCCCGTCCAGGAGCCCACAGACTCCCCTGATGCACATGATGCCGCAACTTACTCTCATTTGGCCCTGGAGCAGAGCCAAGATTTCCATTCCAAACGAGGGTTCTCTCTCGTTTGGATTGAAAACGAGCCCGCAAGGCTGCATTCCCAACCCAAAAGAGTTGTTCGCTCGTTTGGGTGTTTTGAGCACCAGCACCGAACCCGGCTGATGCTCATGATGCTGGCGTTATGAGGTTTGGGTGTCCAAGGGGCCGAATGGAAGCCTGCAAAGCTGCCAACGTGGGGTGAAAGGCCCGCGATTGGGAGGGCGGTGGGGTCTGGCGGAGGTGGCCCCAAGTACCCCAATCACACCCGATCACCCCGATCACTGGGCAGTGATCGGGTGTGATCGGGTTACCCCCCGATCATGGTGATTGGAAATTTTCGGTCATCGTACGGGTAGATTCGCCCTCTGATCGCGCAGGGGTGTGATCGGCCTGCTCCCGCTGTGATTGGGTTGGTGGGCGCTCAGGCGGGCGGAGCGTGCGCTTCACCATTCCTGGACAGGAACTAGAACACACAACGACAGAAATCTATATCACTGCCAAACCCACCCAACTCCGAACCTCATAACATCATATGCTGGTGGGTAGCACCGATCTCCACTCAACACTAGGGATGCGAAGCATCTTGCTGCCTCGACAGTATATGACACACTCTGCCAGCCGTGCATCAGGCCAGAGATCACCCATCGGCATTTCGAGGATGGCTCTGGGGAGGTCGGCGATTTGCGAAGTGTCCTCGGGATTGTCTTTAAGACATGTGGTTTCCTGAATGCAGAATCAACACGGACACACAGCCACACTGACAAGATTCTTCAGGCTGCAAATTAATTAGGCCTGGGATCCGGAGGATCTGACCTGGTGTCCCGTCGTAGCAATAGATGCCGGAGGCGGACGATCTGTCTGGCAAACTGGAATGTGTAGGTCCTCAACACAGGACAAAATACCACAACGACACAGCTGGAGTCAGCACGAGATAGAACAAATAAACACAACATGTGTATGGCAATTGAGGACATGGCTGTGTGCCCTTCAGTAGAGCCGTTCCGGTGTATTGTTTTTTGCCAGCAGCATTGACTCTTTTAGTGGATGTCTTGTGTTTGGTACGTTCCTGAAGAGCACGCTTTGTCAGTGATCCCAGATCAAAGTAGGAAATCGCTGAGGAACATGACCAAAGCCGCGTTCTCTTGGGTGTGGGGCTGTTGTAATGAATCATCCAAAAACTTGCTGTAAAGACCTCGGCTAGCCATAGTCATCGTGAAAAAGACCAACGACATCACTGCAGCGGAAGACTGTAGGGTCCTATGAATGGTAACAAACCAAGCAGCCTTCACCATACCCTTCCACTGTCGCTGCAAACCTTTAAGACGGTCTGTTTGCCACAGCAGACTCCCGGCCGGCTGTTCCACCACCCAGCATGCCCCTACTGCTTCAGCCAGCTGGATGAGCAAAGCTAGCCTCCCACATGTCAGGATAGTGGCACAATTCTTTGTGTTTAAACATGATATACTGAGCTATTCCAGTGTCTCTAAGGCCCACCTGCAACTCAAAAGGTTTGCTGTGCGAACTTTCGCATACCTGGTGTTGCCCATCGGGCGTTGTTTTCTTCTGCCTGTTGATGCCCTGCATATAGGCACAAAGCTGCTGCAGCACATCCCGAACATGATGAGCCCGGCATCGAGGGGGCAGCGCAAGATCAGGATCACAGCGAGCCTTGGCAGAGCGTGGCTGGTAGTTAGTAGATTTGCACAGGGTTGGGTCGGATCTGCACACACAGAAGTGCACACGTATCAAAGTCTAGCTATATGTGTGTATCCATGGGATCAGTCTGCATGGCTGCACATGCACATGCATGACTGCGTGGAGCATGTGCGCAAGTGTGTACAATGGGCACATGTGCATGTGTGTGTGCTTCCACAGCCACATTGCAGACACAGCACGTGAAGCCAGCAGGCGTTGTGAGGTCCATACCACCCTTTCGACCCACCACAGAATCGTATTGCACATCTATCGCTGCTGCACGTAACTTCACCATTCTACTGGTGGAGGAGAGGCGAGCTTGACCTGCAAAGATATCCAAGATGTCGTAGGTCTGCTTGGGACAACCCAGCTTGGCTGCGGTCAGCCAACTCGACAGTAGTACATGTAGAACGAAGGCCTTATGTATAGACTCTCACACAATTGCACTGCAAGCTGTGGCTTACAACATCTCTGTGCACCTGAAACCACTGCAGTGGAGAGACCTTCGGGGCCCCATTCAGTATCAGGCGCGAGACCACGAGAGGCACTTCCCAAGATTGAACCATTGCTCTGCTAGCTGAGTATATTTATTTTCATACACAGCTCAGTCCTAAATTAGAAAGCCAGATGTGCACAGTACATTGACACATGTTTTCCCGTATAGTCAGCAGCCAAGGTCACCCCCGAACGGAATTAAGATGGTTGCAAACATGAGCCCCGAAGCACTAGTAGGATGGAACACACGTGCGCATCCAGGAGCAACGATCCTTCAGAACACAGCACACAGAGCGACTGCATCTGGAATAGGACGGAATGATTCAGCATGATTCAGCACTCGCAACACAATGCACGGGAGAAGGGCTGACCTTGCGAACTCGTGAGGCCTCGCTTCGAAGCCAGGGACGCAGGCATCGAAGCCTGGCCATAGGGTTGGCATGTGCATGTAGGGTTTAGCGGGGGTTCATCATAGGGTTCAAAATCGGGTTTATATATCGGGTTTATAGGGAGTACTACTGTACACTCAGAAAGCACAGCTTGGGGATTTAAAAGGCACCCGAGAGACTGCATGCCCCACTCCCAGATCAATTCTGAACTTGACCTGTGTAGTTCACCCCAAAAATCCGAGCCCGAAATTCCAAAGCTAGTATAACCAAGCCAGGCCAAGCACGCATCTTACAGTTCTCTCCGCAAAGACCCCTCCCTAAATAAGAAAACCCCTGAACCCAGAGGTGGACCCACCTGCTCAGCACTCCGAAGACCAGGACCGTCCACGAAGATGCTCCTCCGAAGACACAGGCAGGTCTGCAGAGTTCGGGATAGCCAGGTATATAAACACTCGAAAACAACCACAACATGTCTACATTGCTGTGTGTGCTGGCATGTGGAGGTATCTATATGGGCATGGATAATTCTTGTATGTGTACACATACATAAACCTACACCGGTACATAAGTGTGGATATATATATATATATATACACATATGTATATGGTTATACTACATATCTACAAAGCATACACACAAACACACTATGGTTTAAAAGGGGGGGTCTTAGGGTGCTACATAGAGTCGATAATGATTTTTGTGAGTGTGGGCGGCATGCACTGTGTGAGGGTGTGTTTCGACACTCGTTTGCAGTTAGGAACCACTAGGAAATAACAAACCTGGACCTAGACTGACCTAGACATACCTTGTCCTAAAACCTACAACAGTGTAAAGCCCTTCCTAGCCTAGTTCAGCAGAAACCACTCCTACCCAGGTGACCCCGATATAAACTTAAACCCACGGGCCCCAGCCTGACCCACAACGGACAACGAGCTTGTCGTCGTCACGGAGCCAATCGCCCCAGGCCCTGCAACCGTGCAAACGAACTACACAGATAGCCGGCAACACCGAAACGAACCACCCTAGTAGAGGCATATATATCTGGTGCGTGCAAGGAATCCAGAAAAGGAGCTCAGCACCAGTCATCAGAAACTCTCCACTCAGAAGCATGAACTCAGCTTAACCTGGTCAGGAGTGCACTATACTTCTGCCCTTCCACTCTGCGCGGAATGCCTCCAGGGATCTCTTGGGTCACTCGGCAGAACACGTAGTTCGAGAGGACCTCGGCCACTGGAGTGTCAATTTATCGGAAAACGATGAACCCTGCACTCATGTTACATCAGAGCAAAGAGCCAGTGACATGAGCAAGCTGAGGGCTCCAGATTTTGCAGACCCTCGCACACGTGTTTAGAAACTGCGCAGAAGGCCCGGCTCGCTGCCAGGTCCGAGGATCATAAGGCCCGGCTCGTCACCAGGTTCGAGGATTGCATGATGCATGGGATCAAGCCCATGCAAATTGTGCTTCAGTCCGCAAAGCCATCCCGGCTAGTGAAGTGAGCGATCGTTACCTTAAATTTAGGATGGACTCAAGCAGTCTGAGATTAAGACAGCTGGTGAATGCGGAAGGCCACCTGATAAGATCTATACCAAACATCCTTCTACCGTGTGTGAACCCAGTAGAGTCCCGTACTTAGATGTCGATGTACATAAAGCCCAAGTAAAACTACATGTGGACACCGAAATAACATGACAACAGAATCAACATAGCCGGAGGCCTGTGCGAACCACTGCACCCCCAAACCCAAAACCCACAGCCGTCATGACAACTGCAGGGTATACGCACAGGAAGTAGTGCTGTGCTGCCACGATCAAAATGTGGATGCAGCAGGCATGCATGGGAGGAGGCATTCGTACACAACCTAGATAAACCTGTATAGTTTTAACCACGGACTGTATAGGCTCGGCTACACCAGGGAAGTAAAACGGTTTGGGAGGGTTCTGCTACTGAGTATGCAAAGTTAGCAGATAGTACTCGTTTAGGGTTTATAGGGCTTATATAGGGGTTTAGGTTTATAGGGTTTAATGGACCATAGGGTTTATAGGGCTTAGGGTTTATAGGGGTTTAGGGGTTTGGGGGTTTATAGGGTTTAATAGACCATAATTCCCCTGGTTTAGGCTCCCTAAGGCTAAGGTAATGCAGGATTTAGATCATCAACAGTATTTACTCATAGGGTTTACATTGACATAATGAAAACTTTTTTGAAGCCTTCCTACACACACTTATAGAAGCACTCTCATTGTACTGCCCAGCACCCATGCACCCTTGCACTGTCTAAAACTTAGAAATGGCTACATCATCCATGCCAAGGAAATCCATCTTCATCTGATCCAAATTGGCCTTGACTTCTGGAGTCATCTCACCCGCACTGGCTTCGAGGACAGCAGCCTGGGAAGGGTAAAGACGGGCACAGGGTAAAGCGAGGTAGGTTGCGAGTAATGTATTTAGACGGACACGGCCAGTCTCCTGAGAAGCTGGCCATCATCACAGCATACTTGATGTTCTGGGCCAAGGTTGCCTTCTTGTTGGCCACAGAGATAACCTCCAGACAATACCAGCACAGACGTGCCCCTCTTTTTAGGTCGTTTCTACAAAGCCCCCAAGCCCGCACGACCCTTGCAATTGTACAAAGACACTGCCTGTTTCCCTTTGTGGGATCCAGCTTTCGGCTTGAGGCCCACCGTATGCTTAGTCCAGTAGATACTCAGTTCTACATGAGCGAACTTGGACACACCATCTCTCGATCTGTCACTCTTGGATTCCTTCTTGCTGCGCTTGCTTGGATTCCCCGATGCAACCACGGCAGCAGATGCCGCTGATGGCTCACCAGGAACTGGAGGACTGGATGTGGTGGGAGCTGCGGGCACGATTGCCGATGATGCATTGGCTGCCGAATCCTTTGCAGGCTTCTTCTTGGCACTCGGGGTCTCCACTGCCTTTTGATCCTTCGTTGCCTTGCCCTCTGCAACCTTTGCCTTCTTCTTCGGCCGCTCCCCGTTCACAGGCGGCGCCTCCTTTGTTTTCGGCTCCTCCGGCTCTGCAGTCTTTGGCTGCTCCTTTGTTTTCGGCTTATCCGGCTGTGCAGTCTCTGGCTGCTCCTTTGTTTTCGGCTCCTCCGGCTGCGCAGTCTTTCCAGTTCCTCCCCCTCCACGGCCACGACCTCCACGGCCACGGCCCGCGCCGCGCCCTCGGCCCGTTTCCTCCTGTTCAGTCCGTGGCTCTGCAACAGGGGCTTTGCCACGGCCACGACCACGGCCCCGACCCTTGGCCTTGGGCTTGGGTTGTACAGCTACCATCATCGTATCCTGGTCTTCCTTGGTCGTGATCACCTGGGCTTGGACCTGTCGGCAATTAAGGAATCAGCCATGGCTATCGTGATACGGTGTGGCACGAATCTCATGCACACCTCAGCGGCCCCCAAAATAGGACACCCATTCACACTTTGTGCACCCAAGACTGTGTGTATTTTTTGTTTATTTAACCCAGCTGGCCTCTTGGTACGCCTCTGCTTTGGACTTCAAAGACTCCGACAGAAGAAGGGGGGTCCCCCGAGTCAGTGCTGGCAGCTTGGTCACGGGTGGGTCTGGGAGAGCTTTGGGGGAAGTTTCGGGCTCCTTGGCTGGGGCTTCCTCGGCAGGTTCGGGCCCCACACACCTAGACTTCTTCGCCGAAGCTTTGGGGGAAGTTTCGGGCTCCTTGGCTGAGGCTTCCTCAGAAGGTTCGGGCTCCACGCGCCTAGGCTTCTTCGGCAAAGCTTCGGGGGCTGTTTGCACAGCTCGCTTGGCTGTGGATGGGTCGCTCTCGGGCTCCACAACTGCCTGGTTCGAGATGCTTTCTTCTGTGGCCTTAAGACTCATGGATTTGGCTAGCTCTGGCAGGGCTTGCGGAACTGTTTCGGGCTGGTTTGCGACAGCTTCCTCAGTAGATTTGAGATCCAGCACACTCATCGTCGACTTGGCTAGCTCTGGCGGAACTGTTTCGGGCTGGTTTGTGACAGCTTCTTCAGTAGCTTTGGGCTCCACAGCTGGCTCTAGAGGCTCCGAAGCTTTGCTCTGGAACGGTGGCTGGGAATCCTCAACCAGCACGAAAGGAGCATCCCACTCCTGCACATATGCCATGGCATCGAACCCGCTTTGAGTCTCCATGCGACCTAGGATCCACGCACGATTGCAAAACATACACATGGTCTAGAATCTATAGAATTGTATATACCATACATGCAACTACTTGACCAGACACCCACACAAGCTTGCTCTTGCCTTTTTTAATCACGGTACTGGGATCCTTGCAGGACGACACGGCACGCGGAGCACCTCGATGGAACTTCATCTGCTCCTTGGCTTTCCTCAGTAGTGACCATGAACTTGGGTTGATGCAGCCCGCCCCAAAAACTTCTCATAAAACAGCATAAGCCAACTGGAACCTGGTGTGGGATTTTCAAATTTGGGAGGGTCTTATGTGGGATGTATATAGATTTCGGCAGGAGGATTCCCGTCAGGTTCAGGCATATATACAGGTGTATTCGGTAATAGCTACTTCAGGGTTTGCGTGTATACATACATACACACATACATCATACATACATACATACATACATACATACATACATACATACATACATACATACATAACCACCCATAGCTACATAAATGAACTTCAACCAGAGTCTTAACTGGATTGCAAGTTTCTTTAGCATCTCCAACCGCTTCTTGATCAGCTCAATACGATCATTTCGAGGGGGGATCGGCTCGGTAGGCCCGCCATCATCATCCGAGATGTCCACGACAACTGCTGATGCTGCTGTTGCTGCCGGCGCTTCATCGTTTGTCACAAGCCCCGACTCCTCAGGCCCCTCCGCCTCGACATCTGCTGCTGCTGCCGGTGCTTCATCGTTTGTCAGAAGCCCCGAATCCTCAGGCCCCTCCGCCTGAACATCTGCTGCTGCTGTTGCCGGCGCTTCATCGTTTTTCATAAGCCCCGAAGCCTCATCTCCCCAATAATCACCAGACTCCTCGACTTGGTGTTCCTGCCCCGAACTCTCAAGCCCCAAAGCCAAAGCCTTAAGCTCCATATCCCAAAGGGAATCGTTCTCTTCTGAAACCAGGCTATCTCCTCGCAGCAGTTCCTCATCGGCGTCATCACCGAACTCGTCCCCACTGCATGCCTGGGGCCGGGCTGGCAATTAGTTCCAGTGGGTTGGGGTGTGTGCTTTTTGCCTCCCACCTAGCTAGGACTTTGGGGTCTGTGTAAGTTTAGGGGTTTTTGGAGTCTTCAGGGATTTGAAGCTTGCGTGGATCTATATGTGTCCCCATCGTGGTCACATGTAAACTATGTCTGGGTACATTTATAGTAAGCCCCAAAAAGTTGGAAACCGGATAAAGGACAAATAGTGCTGGGATCCCCTATACATTACTCTTAGGGATTGAGGCTAATGGGTTTCCAACTTTTGGGCTTCTACTATACATATTACTTGAATGCGGAGAATATCCCCCCTAGCAGTACCTATAGGACCCCCTGGGGAAGGTTATCGCTTAGGGTTTCGGGCTGATGTGAGCTATACGGTTTGGGGTGTATATAGAGCTTGCAGGGAGTAAGGCTTTTAGGGTTCGAAGATTCAGGACTCTTAGGGTTTATCTAGGGGTTTATTTACTGTGTTACGGCTTTATAGGGCTTTAGAATTTTAGGGTGTTAATTGAGGTTTACAGAGTTGAGCGGGGTGGAGAAGGTTTGAAATCGGGTGAAGGCTCGGTTCCTGGAGTTCATGTTGGTGGCTTACGGTGTCACCTGTTGATATCTGGGATGTGCCGACTCAAAGCTTATAAGCTTAAATTTTCTGCACATGTACCTTTCGAACGAAGGGTTCTAGGTGGATACTGACAATCCCAACTTAGCCGATCGAACATCGATATACCTCAGAAGCCCACCAATTTAGTCCTTCTGCATGTAATTCCCAAACCGTAGGTGCACCCCATATAACACCCTCTGAGACTCTGTAAACCAGATTTAAGGCGACACCTTAAGATTGCCCAGATGAGCCTTTTTAAACTCTGACAAAGGAACTTCTGGTTCCTGGTCCAGCTCAGCCAGCCGATGGGGAGCCCAGACTTCCATCAAGACCCGTTTGAGGTGCCTGACCTTCTCATTTCTTGGACACGTCGTCTGTGTAAACCTTTTCACGAAGTGCGACATGAACTTTCGCAGGCCCCATGAATCACAGTCCAAGGATGCAGGGGCTTTGCGCCCGGTCTCACCCCAGAGTGCCTGGACCTTCGCAAGTTTATGATCTGCAGGCAACACCAGTGGTGCTAATTGTAGTCGGAGTCAGTGATAACGACAGTACCAGTAGTAGTAGTAATGTAGTAATAGTAGTAATGGTAGTACTAGTAGTAGTAGTAGTAGTAGTAGTAGTAGTAGTAGTAGAGTAGCAGTAGTAGTAGTAGTAGTAGTAGTAGTAGTAGTAGTAGTAGTGGTAGTAGTAGTAGTAGTAGTAGCAGGAATAGTAGTAGTAGTGGTAGTAGTAGTAGTAGTAGTAGTACTAGTAGTAATAATAATAGTAGTAGTAGCAATCGCAGTAGTAGAAATCGTAGTAGTAGTAGTAGTAGTAGTACTAGTAGTACTAGTAGTAGTAGTAGTAGTAGTAGTAGTAGTACTAGTGGTGATGGTGGTAGTAGTAGTGGCAGTAGAACTAGAAATAGAAACAGAAGTAGAAGTAGAAGCGGAAGCACAAGCAGAAGTAGTAGTTTTCGTCGTCCGCGTCGTCGTAGTAGTAGTAGTAGTAGTAGTAGTAGTAGTAGTAGTAATACGACTACCACAACTACTGCCACAAAGGACTATAACAACAACAACAACCACTACTACTGCTATTATTATTACTACTACTACTACTACTACTACTACTAATACTATACTACTAGTACTGCTACTGCTACTGCTACTCCTACTGCTGCTACTATTACTACTACTACTACTACTACTACTACTACTACTACTACTGTTATTACTACTCCTACTACTACTACTACTACTACTACTACTACTGTTATTACTACTCCTACTACTACTACTACTAC